GATCCCAAAAGAAAATCACCAAGACGTATCATAATCAAACTCTCCAAAATCAAAGACAAAGAAAGAATCCTGAAAGCAGCTCAGGAAAAGCTAAATGTTACCTACAAACGGAAAGCAATGAGACTAAGCTGTAAATTCTCAACAGAAATTATGCAGGCAACAACAATGGGATGAGGTTGGGTGGGGCCAAGATGATGGAGTAGTCAGATGCTTTCGATGGTCCCTCTTACAACAAAGACCCGAAAAAACAAATGGATCGATTATATACAAGAATCTAGGAGTCCTGAACATCAAAGGCAAAGCTGAGAAATCAGACTGAGTGGCAGGGGGAAGGAGAGACAGTTTGGAAGCAGCGAGGAGTTGCCAGACCTAACCTGGCAGGAGCCAGAGCCCTTCAGCTCAGATCAATTCGGGGGTGAGTGATGACACAAGCAAGCAGTGGTGCTCAGAAGGGGTTTTCCACATTGGGAGAGACCCAGTGGCAAACAGTCTACTTGGCCATCCAGAACGAATGAGAAGCGTCCTTCAATTGGCAAAAGATAAGGATTGCGTCTGGTTAACCACATGGATCAAAAACACCATCCTCAGGGAAAAACTTCTCTACCATTTGCCTTCGTGCTCCCTGCTCTTCATTGGGTCTGGGACTGGCTTCAGCCACTGCCAAGTCCCCTGGGCCAGAAGTACGACCCATCAGACACCCTGAACCATTCTCCTGGCCTTAGAGAGGGAAAAAATTAGCAAACGGTGAAAAAATAATCTGCCGGATCTTCTAAGCCAGGAACTCAGGGTAGGTACAGCTCCTTTGCCTAGGCATAGGCATAAGGGATCCACAGACTTTGAGAGCCTTCCCCCCTACACGGACTTGTGTGGGCCCATTTCAACAGCATAGGCCCTCATTACTGCAGTACAACAGGGTATATATCTGAAGTCTAACTTCAACCGTTTCAGCTGTGAAGTGGTAGGTTCGTGACATTTGACATGGCTCTGTCCATTAAGCAGGGTCTTCACCTACCCACATCAGGGGCCTGAGGGCTGGAGGCTCCACCCACGCCACAGCCACCAGTGAAAGGGGTCCAAGGATAAGAGGTGCTCCTCAATCCTTACAGCCAACAGCACTCAGTGCTCATAGTCTGGCTGAAAAAACTGCCCACCTACATGCTCTAGGGAACAGGGACACACTTTCCTCCTGGACACTTGGGGGTGACTGTCAGCCCCCTGCCTTGCTTAGCGTGTGTTCCCCTGCTGCAGCTGAATGCCTGTGCCTACACCAATCACCCATGCCTGTCTAGGACTGTAGGTGAGAGCCTGCATCACACACTTGGTGGCCAACTACCTGGACACCTGAGCTGAATCCATACAAGAGGAGTGGCCAGACTCCTGGGCTCACACACTTAGTAGCAGGTCTGGCCACCTGGTGGAAGGATGTTGGAGCTTCAGGGGAGTCAGCAATTGGGCGAGCTCACACAAGCAGCCTATTTGGGCATAACAAAACAAAACAAGAAGCTACGACACAGTAAGGAAACATAAAATAAATAATAACTTATTGATGACTTGGAGACAACAGTTAATAACAAATCACACAAAGAGGAAATCCATGGTGGCTTCAGCAAGCTCCCAAAATAAAGAATCTAGAAATTTTCCAGAGGAAGAAGATTGCTTGGAATTACAGGAGGCAGAATACAAAAGATTAATACACAGAACTCTTCAAGAGACCAAGAAGGAAATCAGGCAAAATGCAGAACACGCAACAGAGGAACTTAAGAAGATTAGAGAAGACCATAATGACAAATTTAACAGGCTGAAAGAATCCATAGAGAGACAGCAATCAGAAATTCAGAAGATTAACAATAAAATTTCAGAATTAGACAACTCAATAGAAAATCATAGGAGCAGAATTGAGGCAACGGAAGTCAGAATTGGTGAGACTAAAGATAAAGTACTTGACACCAACTTATTTGAGGACAAATCAGATAAAAGGATTAAAAAAATGAAGAAACCCTAAGAATTGCGTGGGACTGTATCAAGAGGAATAACCTATGAAGGACTGGAGTACCAGAATGGGGGTGGGGGGAGCAGATAACAGAAAATACAGAGAGAATTCTTGAAGATTTGTTGGCAGAAAACTTCCCTGATACTGTGAGAGATGAGAAGATATCTATCCAAGATGCTCATGGAACCCTACATAAGGTAGATCCCAAGAGAAAGTCACCAAGACATGTTATAATTAAACTTGAAAAAACCAAAGATAAAGACAGACTTTTAAGAGCGGCTAGGGATAAACAAAAAGTCAGCTACAAAGGAGAGTTAGTAAGAATAAGTTCGGACTACTCAGCAGAAACCATGCAGGCAAGAAGGCAATGGGATGACATATATAAAGACTTGAAGGAAAAAAACTGCCAGCCAAGAACTATATATCCAGCAAAACTGTCTCTCAAATATGATGGCAAAATTAGGGCACTTCCAGATGAACAGAAGTTTAGGGAATTTGCAAAACCAAACAAAAATTACATGAAATAGTAAAGGGAGTTCTCTAGTTAGAAAATCAATAACATCAGATAATAACCCAAGACTAGAACACATGACAGAGCAACTAGATATCAACCTAGATAGGGAAGTCACAAAAATAAATCAAAGCTAAAACACTGAAAATAGGGAATCAGAGATGTCAATATGTAAAAGATGACAACATTAAAACAAAAAAGAGGGACTTAAAAATGTAGACATAGGTTTTTCATATGGAGAGAAAGTCAAAGAAATATAGAGAAATAAAAGACGGGTATAAACTTAGAAAAAAGGAGGTAAATATTAAGGTAACCACAAAGGAAACTAACAATGCTACAAGTCAAAATAAAAAACTAGAAACATATAAAGACTCAGCAAACACAAAATCAGCAACAATGAAAAAGATAAAAAGAAACTACATAAAGAAAAACGACTCAGCACACAAAATTAAGTGGAACAAAGAAACTGTGAACAATACACAAAAAAAGACATCAAAATGACAGCACTAAACTCACACCTATCAACAGTTACTCTGAATGTAAACGGACTAAATCCACCAATAAAGAGACAGAGAGTGGCAGATGGATAAATAACACGATCCGTCTATATGCTGCCTACAAGAGACACACCTTAGACTTAAAGACACAAACAAACTAAAACTGAAAGGATGGAAAAAAATATATCAAGCAAACAACACTCAAAAAAGAGCAGGAGTGGCAATATTAATCTCTGACAAAGTAGACTTTAAAATAAAATCCACCA